GAATTCTGTTTTTATGACTGGATAAAGACTACACTGCGTAATTTTCCCGCTTATCATGCGGCCACTTGCCTGATGTGAACATAAAATATCTTACATACCACCACTTGTGAACGAGCCAGTGTAATGCAAATATATCTGAAAAGGTCTGCCCGAGGATATCGTCACGTTCTCGCGAGACACATCGGATTTCGTGCCACGAGATCTCGTCACACCCCTATAAACTACTATAAAAAGATGGAAGACCCTTTGATTCAGTTTAAAGAAATGTAAATTCACCCCAAAATGTAAATTCTGTCCTCATGTTCCAATTTGTCTTTCGTTGATCTTCATAAATGAAGGTATTTTAAACATGAAAATGACAGGTTTTCAGGATAAAAAAAGCAGTGGGCAAATATCGGCAAACATTGTGCTTAAAGGTCCCCTGAAATGCTTAGAAACACGCAGCGTTACTCTATGTGTTGACGTAATTTTAACTGAAACAGGAAGACCTTTTTAAAATAGCCAATAGCGTTCGTTTATATCACAGCTTGGGCTAGAGCCATTCAGAGCCATTGAGCTCCGTAAAGCCGCATTTGACAGGGTATGCCAGCCACAATCTCATCCATATTGCTATAAAATATAGCATTCTGTGTAGAATTCAAATAGCTCCTATACATTTTGTGGTCTGCGCCGACTCGCGCATGTGATCCGCTCTGTGCTATCGTGTCTCTGGACCGGAGCAGAGTGTGTGTGCGGTGCGGTGGTTAGTGTGACACAGCGCGAAACCAGACTTCTTTTTTTCCTCAATGTAAAGCATATTTACACTGTTTGAATCGTTCCCTGTCCCCTATGTAGTGCACTACGTGCCATTCACTGTAGAGAAAATACTAAGTCTGTGGACAAGTGACCGATTTCAGCCACGGCTTCAGCGTCTATTTTATAGTGTAGGGGGCGGGCGCTTCAGATTCTAGAGAGCATTTGATTGGACAGAAAGTTTGATGAGAAGCTGAAGTACGATGTGACGTCAAAAAAATTGATTGAGCCGTTTTGGCGGAAGTGACGAAATGCGAATTTTGTCACTGTTTTGGAGCACACTACCTGATAGATAACCTTAAGACTAACATATTGATACTAACACCCAAAAAACTTTAATTTTGATTTCATGGGGACTTTAATAAATCAAGAGAAGCAGAAATCATGATAACGATTAAAATATGATTCCTTGTGCAGCCCTATCTAAACAGAACCAACACTCAATTGACTGAAGCTGACAAATTACTCTATTGTCTTTTAGAGCTGCTTAACAGCAGAATCTGTTCCATAATTCATTCTGCTATGGTTTCTTACTTGTCAGACAAGCACACACGATTGGAGCTTATGCGCTCTATATATGTCTCCGTTCACAAAACTTGTTTTATATGGCTTGATTTTCATGGATTACTTTTACGTCTTTATGTACTTTTTGAAGCTTAAAAATGTTGATTGACTAGACTTTCAATAGATTAAAAAGATGATTTCACAGAAATGATGAGAGATTATTAAGAATGTCTTCATTTCTGTTCCAAAAATGAACGAAAGTCTAATGGGTTCGGAATGACATGTGGGTGAGTAAATGATGACAGACTGTTCATTTTAAGGTAAACAAACCCTTTAAGGCTGATATGGAAGTATCTTAACCACTGACCACAAACTTGACGGAGTAAGTATAGGGAATCTTGATATCTCCATTGAACTTGTTGCCCAGACTCATGGGAGGTCCTGTGCAGTCTGGTTTCTCCAAATTGGTGTGCTTATAGCTTTAAAAAGAGACAAGAAACATAGTCCATATTTACATATTAAATCAAATACCCTATTGTTACGCTTAATTTGACAATTAAATATTTAAATATATTGTTGCTTTTTGTTAGATCTTAATTGGCTAAATTGCACCCTTCTCTGCTGCCTTATTATTGGTTAGAAGAGCTTCAAATACCTTTTGGGCTCTAATTTAGCTGCAACCAGTCTGGCACCAGCAGCCTCGTTCTCCACCATGTGGTAGAAAATGGTGATGTCCACATGGTTGAAGATGTAAAAGGTGTCTTTGTCATTGAAGTCAGCCTGCATGAAAATGAAACCACTGCGTGAACAATTTGCATTAAACCGAACAATCATATGGCCTATGAAAAGTCTGGTAAGTGTTACTTACATTGACCACACAGGCATCTTTGGCCCGTCCCGTATCTGTGACATAGCAACCAATGGGGAAGCCTGGATTACAGAACTTCTGATTGTCCTCCACATCGTAACACCAGGTCACCGGCATATTATCGACAATCCTGAGAGAGTCAAGTAAGTGATGAGAAGCTATGCTTCGTTACAGTGCTGTGTTTCAGCACAGAGAGATACTGAGCGACTGCCTCACCAGTGGTGTTGGTAATTGAGGAGCATTCCCTTCTTGAGAAATTCCAGCTTGGCCTTATCCTCGGTTTTCTCGGTGTTGTAAGATTTAAGACAGACACTCTGGCAATCCAAATTCTTCTTGAAGGAAAACTAGAAGAAAAACAAACAAACTCATATTACAGAATAAAATGCTATAATAAAAAGAAAATTTCAATAAAGACAAAGTCAGAGGCTGCATATGACAGAGACATTTATCCAAGGTGATAATGTGAACACATGGGAAATAGGCAATATTTCATTAAGGTGTATTAGCACCATTTGCCTTGAATATAGCTTCCATCCTTAAAACAGATTCATACAACTTTTGAATGTACAGATGAATGATGTCTATCAGAACATCTACCAGATTCAATTTGCTTCTCACTCTTCTCTCCAAAACTGCCCACTGTGGTTTGATAATATTCAAGTGTTCAAGATTTTCAGTTCATCTTGGTGCTTCAACTCTCCAGGTTTTATGATCATGACACCACATTTTAGCATTTGCGTCTGTAATTAAAGTTTTATCAACTGCAGCTCTTTCATGGATGTCGGCTTGTGAAATTCTTAGTGATTTCTTTTTGTGGAAAAAGGGTCTTCAAGGTGAATACTGAGGTTTGCTGTTTGCAGTAGTTCTGTGTTGTTTGGACACCTTCGTTTTCACCGACTACTCTTCTTCACTGGTGAAGTCTTGCCATGCTTTGTGTACACAATAATAATCGTATCTTTGTTCTTAGAGCACCAAAGAATTGGGCTGTTGCAAGCTTTCATGATTTGTCCTTTTTGGAAGACAATCGCAACATTTGTTTTTCCCACTGTACACAAATTATATTAACCCCTATAGTATAACGAGTGTTCACATTATTTATTATGTTACACTCACTTTATCAGTTTATGCATTCCCAAGGCATTGAACCCATGGCCTTGGCATTGCTAGTGCCAAGCTCTGAGCTACAAGAACATTGTGTAATATACCTTGTACGGGGATGGCTCGATTCTTTCTCCAAACAGCACCTGACCCAAGTTCTCAGATGGACGCTTCTCGGACTGATCAGCACAAAAATCAAACCTGAAAGAATAAAAATAATCAAGTTGTAATCAGAAAAAAAAAGCTCAGCTCATAATCAAAACAGCACTTCAAATACAGGTTTCTTGTTTAATCATTTATCAGGTGACATGATTAAATGCTTAAATTGAGTGAAAAAATATTGTCAATATCTGATCGGCCTATTCTTAATACAGTTGACTACTGGGTGTGTGTGGGCATTAAAAGTATGCACAGGTTAACAAATAATTTAACTGTTATTAACCTAAACATTAAACAACAAACATTCATGGACTACAGAGGGTTTTTAGTATCACTCTAACATAATAGGACGTGTAGAGTTTGCAGCAAAGAGGCTTCTGTAACCTCTCAAGAGCTTCTCTGTGAGCATATTCTTACATATGTCTAGAAACCTTAATTTTGAAGCCTCAGAATTCAGTCTTAAAAGGATAGTCCATCCAAAAATGACAACTATTTCTTCTGTGGAACATAAAAGAAGATATTTTGAGAAATGTCTCAACGGGATTTCTTTTTACATACAATAGGAGTCAATGGCAACCAAAACCAGTTGGTCACCCACATTTGTGACCCTGGACCACAAAACCAGTCATAAGTAGCACGGGTATATTTGTAGCAATAGCCAACAATACATTGTATGGGTCAAAATGATCAATTTTTCTTTTATGCCAAAATCATTAATATATTAAGTAAAGATCATGTTTCATGAGGATATTTTGTAAATTTCCTACCGTAAATATATCAAATTCCTTATACATACACAATACATTTATCTATTTGGTTACACCTGCAGCTAGCCCAAGACATGGTTTTATTAAATACCAGAGACAAGGAGACGTCTGCCTAGTTTCCTTGAGCAAAACATTTTTACATTTGTTTGTTTTTGCGGTTTTGGATGAATTTTATTAAAAGAAAACTGCCATATGTGTACTCATGTTAATTCAGATAGAACACTCTTGGGAGCTTCAGCACACAGTAAGCACAAGGCAGATTAATAATGCAAAGCTTATGTCATATTGAATGTCTTGTGAGGAAGACTATGTCATTCCTGCCTCCATTCGATTATACAGCGGGTGGTGTGACTGAAAGGCCTCTGTGTTAACATAACGGCACTCCCTCCTCAGTGTGCAGACCGTCTGAGCACAAGTCTCTACATTCAAACTTTCCTCCCCTCTAGCGTCTCTCTGGTGTATCCACAACACCCTCGCTACATTTCATTCTCCTCAGGTTTTCCCTCAAAGAGTTACTAAAGCAAAACTGGTTAGCCATACAAAAAGCATAGCAAATCTTGAGCAAAACCATGTTAAAAGGGCAATTTCTTCAGCATTGTCCATTACAGTGTTGATATAACTAACTAAAACTCAAAACAATAAAAAGTTGTTTTTGGTAATTGAAATGAAGCTGAAACAAAGATAAATATTTATACTAGATGTAAATCTCAAAATAAAAAAAAATGAAAATAGAAATAGAAAAATTAGGGGAAAAAAAATAGAAACTTTGTTTTGGCTACTAAATGAAATAAAATAAGTCGAACTACTAAAATTACTAAAAACACAATAAAAATAAACCCAAATAGATTTTTTAAAGAAATATTAAAAAAAAAAAAAAAATGGCAAAGGCATATAACAAAATTACCAAAAAAAATTAATAGTAGTTACCAATAAAATTAATAGTAAATACTAACTAATAAATACTATAACATACAGTATAATTTATACTTACGCTGTGTACTCATAGGGCAAAACAGACTCCACAGAATCCAGCCTGTTCACAAACAGCTCAATTGTTGACTGTCAAAAAGAGAAGCATCAAAGGTTATGGCAATGTTGTAATGTCCACAGTAATCCCTTCTTTCTGTAAAAAAAAGTGTCACTCTGAAGTTTATAATTACTGATGTGAGGGCATCTTTAAAAAAACTTTATAAATGATTAGAACAAAGGGCTTAGAAAAACAACTACAATGTAAACCAGGGGTGGGGAACGTTGATCCTGGAGGGCCACTCTCCTGCAGAGTTTAGTTCCAACCCTGAAAAACCCTTAAAAAAAAATACCTAACTGCATCCTGGATACCTTGATTAGCTGGTTCAGGTGTGTTTGATTAGGGTTGGAGCTGGAGTAAAAAGGTTTCAGAAATTATCTTGAGGATGATGGTAGTAAGAAATTTGCCACAGTTTCAAGCAATCAAATATATTGTTGATATGACATATGATACTTCAGTATGAAAATATGAGTAGTAACTTTTGCACGCTTGTTAATGGAGTATAATGTTCCACCCCCACATGAGAATATGGAAATAAAGGGGAAAACATGTCACACCTGTTGAACCAGTTTACATGTCGACATTATGTTACCAACTACCTGCTATTCCCCTCACGTACAGAGATAAACAGATCGTATTTAACATATTACATTACGCTATTCAAAAACAATATAAAGAATATGACGCCATGACATAAATTAGAACTAGTCAGTGGGATTTATCCAATTCATTCGTTAACCACTTTTATTAATAACCATGCATGTGAAGGTACTTTTAATTATTAATTGTTGTGCGCTCACGCTGCTTTATCTCGGTAATATTACAATGAAAACTGAATTAGGACTGAAGCTGTCAGTCCCTAACATTATTCCTAACGTCTCCTTTAGTGTTCTGTATAACAAACGCAGTTTGGGAGCAAAATCGGTTTAGCAAATTAATACGTTATTTTATTTTTAAGGGAACTAAGTTATTCCTTTACAGTCAAGGTCCAGTTTGAGAGAGTGACACATGTGAATGAACAGAACATCTACACTTGCAGGTTCACAGACCTGCGAAAGTCTTTTATGGAAATACAAAGTTTTTGAAAGCGACAAAATGAGCAGGTTTAGCGGTTATCTTTATCAAGGCAACAGCGTTTCCACAACTGACACCCAGCAATAGCATTTCGAGCTAGCATCACGCAGCATAGAGACCCTATTACAGAGAAACACGTCACATCTCATACATTTTAATGAAATCATTTATTATGCGCTTTAATATGAACATTTACCTTGCAGTCTGGCACGTCGCTGTTTTTGTCGCTCTCTTCTTTCTCACAGAAGCTAACCGGGGCTAAACCAGGAAGATAGAAACTCAACGCGTCCCGCAGCGACCCGCACACAAAAAGCAACAAAATTACAACACGGACACGGTGGAACACGACCATTTTGCCTCGACCGATTAGTTAAGGATTCGGTAGATGTATTTACATGCGTGAAATGTAGATTTGCGTGTCAGAATTCAGACATTGGTGATATCCAAGCACAAGCGCTAGCGAAACTGCTGCCTGCGTAGCAGCATCTGACTCCGTCCACAGACACGTCATCCGTCACGAACAGCATGATGGGATAGTGGTGGACTTCGAAGCGGAAGACAATGGAAACATCATAAACAAATCTTGAAAATGAGGTCCTTTTTAAATTAAAACTACTTGAATCTCTCACTTGGCTCCTATTTTAAATGTAACCAATATTTTAATAACCCCACTTGCATGTTTACTACTAATGTAAACCTAAAATTGATTTTTAGATTTATTTTTTATTTACACATGTTATGGATGTAATAAAGCAACATCCTGCGTCTGTAATAAATTTTTATAGGTTTATAATACAGATACCACTTTAAAGCAACAAGGTTGATACACTAAACCACCTTTTCCTGTTGAATCATGTTTTAATAAAACGGAATCACTGAGAACAGGAGTGCTGAGACTGATCACAAATGTTTTAAAACAAAACTGAAAAACAAGCGGAACAGAAGTTAGATGCACATAACAAATACAGTAATCTTAATGTACATCTTCAGTACCCACTGTATAACCTACAAACATTCAGCAACCGTTGTTCACACATCTGACGTTACAAAAAATCTTCTCTAAAACAAATGTAAATGACAAAGTTCTTACGCAGTACATGGTTATCACACTTCTGGTTCAAAGTTCAAGGGTTGTGAAACCTTAGACAGCATCTCCACAGGCTAGTATGTCCAGTCTCTGCGATTCTTCTGAGCTTTAGGGCAGCAATCCTCCATCAGCACTGACTTGAACAGTTTCAGTATGTGAAATGAATGGGGTTGACGGTGATCTGAGATCAGTACATTCAGACTGAGCATGATCAGGAGACGCACAGCTCTGCTGGTGTGCTGAGCTGTTGGGCTGCAGGGGCTGAATCAGGCTTCTCCTGTCCACTGGACAGGCTGGAGGCCATTTTCTTTTTAAAGAGACGTAAACTCAGTTGCACAAGTTCATTGTCCACCACTGGAGCGCTGGTGTAGATCTGCTTGGTTGTGCCCTACAGGATGAGGAACACAGAAGCATTAAACCAAATACTGAATCATGTACACCTTATTAAATTTAAATAAAAAATGAGTACAAAAAAATACTTAAAGGGGTCATATGATGCGATTTCATTTTTTCCTTTCTCTTTGGAGTGTTACAAGCTCTATTACACCAAATACACAAAATAATGTTCTTTTTAGCAGCATCATATGACCCCTTTAAATATACAGCAGTCTGTTAAGGACTGATAAATTTTAGACAAATATCACTCCTCACATGATTTTCTTAGTAAGAAATTAATACTTAATACAATAGAAAAGGATGCACTAAATGGATCAAAAGTGATAGTAAAGACTTTAACAAAAATATTTCAAATAAATGCATTTCTTTTGAATTTTCTATTCATCAAAAAAACCTAAAAATGAGTTGAATTGATAATTTCAAAATATATGAAATATATGAAGCAGCTGTTTTCAACAGTGATAATACTAAGAAATGTTTCTTGAACAGCAAATCATTGAGGATCATGTGACACTGAAAATTTAGCTTTGCATCACAGGAAATAAATTACATTAACAGTTATTTTAAATTGTAATATTTCACAACATTACTGTTCTTACTGTTTTTGAGTGAATAATTGCAGCCCTGGTGAGCTTAAAAGATTTCTTTTAAATCTTACTCGTGTATATATATATATATATATATATATAATATATATATATATATATATATATATATTAGGGCTGTCAGTCAATTAATATTTTTTATCTAATTAGATGATGTGTCAATTAATTAATCTAATTAATCGCAAAATAAATTTAACTGAAAATATTACAAAAGATTATTTAAAGCTATTTGTGTTAAATTAGAAAGTATCAAGTAGACATTACAAATTGTAGCTTTATAAAGAAATATTTCATTTGATTCAACAATTTATTACACAAACATTTAGGCCTAACGTAAACTATGGAACACAATAGAAGATAATTTGGGGAAGCGTCTCAGTATTTTTTGTTCATACAATGAAAGTCATTGGTAACCAAAACTGCTTTGTCACCAACAGTCTTCAGAATACCTTCTTTTATGTTCCACAAAAGAAAGGTTTGAAACGACATGAAGGTGAGTAAATGATGACAGAATAAAAATTTTTTGGGTGAACTATCCCTTTAATGTTTTTTTTTTTATTATTATTATTTATTTTATTTTTTTATTAAATGATACTCTAAATAACTAAATCTGCCAGCAGGTGGCGGTAAATATCTTCATTCCATTCATTCAAATGGCTGATTCATTCAGGAATGAAGTAAACGGCTCTTTTTATGAATGAGTCTTTGACTCATTGGTTCACACCATTCGTTCAAAATGTGGATTCATTCAGAAACTAAACACAGCTGTGTTGCTCGGAGAACCGCAACAATTCTTCTATGGCTTTAAAGGTAATTATGTTCTCTGCAAAATTTAGCAAGAACACATAATATTGTGTTTAAAATATAACACAATATCAACTTATTTACTGAACTGTTGTATAAAATCACATTTAAACTCGGGATATAAACTCGGGACAAAATCAGTAGAGTTGGGTTCGAGTCCACCCAAGTCGAGTCCGAGTCTTTAACCAATCGAGCCTGAGACAAGTCATAGTCCAAAATGGGCCCAAACAGCCGAGTCCGAGTCCAACGAAACTCTATTATTTATTAGTATCTTAACATTGTTTTAACCTTTACAACTAGAAAAACGCAATGTCCATTTAAATGTAACAAAAGCAAACCTCAATTGCATCTTGCCATTTAGATTTTTGATTAATAATTAGTGTCCTGCTTTGCTTAGCAAATTTAAAGTCATGTAACAGAAGTTATAGCTGAATTGATTTATGTATTGTGACATATTTCAGAGTGAAACAGGTTTTAGAATGTGAAAAATTAAAGGGCGGGACTTGACTTTATTCATCGTTAAAGTAAATGAATAAATTCAAGGGTGGGGGAATCTTGGTGAATGGAACCTCAAGAGCAGGAAATGCACCTTTTATCTCAATAAAAAAAACAAGCTTTATATCATTTTTACAATTTTTATTAAATATGAATTTTGAATAATCAAAATTAGTTTGTGTCTGCTTATTCTATTCATCCGTGTTTGAACCATTAAAGAAGAAACCGCATTTTAATTTCTAGGTTAGACAGGGCATTTTGAATTTTAGCTTGGATGAAAATGAAGCTGTGAGGGATAAACCTGGTCTGTACAATGGCACACACTGTGTATAAAACTGATTTCTTTTGAAGCTAGAAACTGTCACTATGTTTAAAAAAAATTCAATACAAAAGCAAAAAATAATAAACTAATGTAATAAAACATTTTCAAGCTTACTGAAGGCAAGTAAACACTCCAAGTATTACTTACAAGCTAAATGATAAATAATATATATTACTCAAAAACACAAATTAAATAGTTTTTTTTTTTTTCAGATAGTCTAGTAAAGGCTTCTACAGAAATAGCCTACTACAGACATTTCATGATGCAATAAATGTAAAAATAATCTTCACTGTATACATTAAATATAGATGATTCTTATTAAAGTTAATAAGTGATTCAGTCAAGAGCAGTGAGTGAGTGATTTTCTCTTTTTCTTTTGTTTGATTAACGACCCCTTTAAGACAAAACCGACTGCATTTACGTGAATAGTCTCCAAGACGGGCATTTTGACATAACTTTTCGTGTAAGTGTGTAGCAATAACAGAACTTAAGAGAACTCGACATTCACACACTGACTGAGAGGTGCGTTCTGTGACCGTGCTTTCGGTGTGTGAGCACAGAAACCCATCGGCTTTCAAGTACTGGACAAGACTTAAAAACATTGGTCAGTGACATTTCCGTCAACTGTCCCTGGACTCGGTTGGACTCTGACATATTTTCAGAGTCCGAAAGGCTCGAGTCCGAGTCAAGTCCAAGTAAAAATGCATCCGAGTCCGTGACAAGTCTGAGTCCTTTAAAAATTTTACTCGATAAAGGACTCGAGTCCGAGTACCCCAACTCTAAAAATCAGCACTCATGTGATATTGCTCTCCCTGCCCGTTTAATATATATGATATAAATATGAGACAAAAACTCATACAGGGGCATTTTTGCACCAATATCTCGAATTTTAGGAGCATAACTGCATTTATGGAGTTGTTGCCCTGCATCATGATGAACAGGTCTGGGGCCAGTGCGTTAACTGCCTTAAAATATTTTAATTGTGTTATTTTTTCATAACTAATGAATTAAGTTAATGCGTTAAACTGACAGCCCTAATATATATATATATATATATATATATGCACACATGTATATGTATATATATTTATATACACCCACACACACACACACACACACACACACACAGTGGGGAAACATGTCAACATTTTTTAATTAAACAGTTCCAATGCAGCAATTCCCATGAAATTTTGACCAGATGCTGGTATTAACTGAAATCTACACAGATAAATAAATCACTATATTACAGTCCATAAAAAAAAGTTATGTGTAGTAAAGTGAAATGACAGGAAAAAAAGTATTGAACACGCTGTTGAAACTATATTCATTAATTAGTGGAAAAGTCTTTATTTGCTATGACAGCTTGAAAGTCGCTTCCTGTATGAACAAACCATAAATCTTAAATATTCTGGGGGACCCTCTTGTGAATCTTGATCTTTAGTTTCTTCCACAAAAATGCTCTAATGGGTTTAAATCTGGTGATTGCCTGGGTCATTCCAAAAACTTTATTTTCTTCCTCTGGGACCAATTCAGTCTCCTTATCTTATTCTAATCATCCTGGTAGATGGCAACAGATTCATCTGAAGAATTTCCCAGTGCATGGCTCCATTCATCTTTCCCTCAATAATATGGATTATGCCTGTAACATGTGAAGAGAAACAGCCCCATACCATGATGCTTCCACCTCCAAACTTCACTTTTGGCATGGTATTTTTAGCCATCTTTGTCAGCTGCTGTCTTGTCTTGCCTGACCATGCCGTACTGCTTTTTCTTAGTGTGTTCAATACTTTCTTCCTGTGTCATTCCACTTTA